ATTGGGACTGGGGAACACAATTAGTTTGCTTCACCGAATATACACTTGCAGAATAGTATTGCTAGGACAGTTCACTACTAGGAGCTCAGCCAGCATCTAGCCAGAGGTCCCAAGACCTCCCACACTGGTCTCAGCTATTTCCTTCACCCGTCAAGAGCTCTCTGCAAAGTCCTCTTAGCTCAGGGTCAGGTAGGTTCGCCAGGACGGGTCCTGACCCAGGTCTGCTGTATATGGTGACCAGGCAGTGGCTCCCGAAGGAGCGTCGGGGACAACTGATGGACTGATTACATCGTCTTTACATCTCTGCTGCTCCTGCCTACTTTCTGTACTCGACTGAAAAAGCCTACTGTGTAGGCGAAACATTTCGGAATAAAGATGCCTAACTGTTGCCTATGTCTTGCCAACCTGTCGGTATTGTATACCATTTTGATATCCACTCAACTGATGTACAGTTTACAGCCCTGTGGTGGAGGCAGCCCTATGACACGGGAAAGGCGAGTCACCTCCCATGAGACCTCATTACGTGACTTGATGATGGCCCAGGGTGTGGCAGATTAGTACTAGCTTGTGTGGCCACAGGACATCTGTTGTGACTTGATAGTCTGTCAGCATCACATGAAGGAGAGGGTGAGATCAGAGCCCAGGGAGAGTGGGGACCTTTCTTCTATATAATTCAGACTTCACACACTGACTTGTGTACAGTTGCTGGCACTCTGCCCACTTTCATTCCCTAAACAGTTAGTACTGGTTGGGTTTCCGTTGGTTCAACCTGTACAGGGTAATGACCCTCCCCTCCCCCCTCCCCTCCCCCCTCCCCACGTACCCAAGTACATCCCGTTACTCTAGATAAAGACTAGATTCCACTCTCTTGGATTACTTGTTATTAAAATTGATTATGTTTAAGGCCAGTTGCGAACTACACAGTTCTCTGTTTTTAAACTAAAATATACACATCCCAGTGTATATATATGCACTGAGAAATACATATCACTATGTGCATATACACTGACAGATAAGAACATAAGAAAGAAGGAACACTGCAGCAGGCCTACTGGCCCATGCGAGGCAGGTCATTACACTTCCAAGAAACAGATCAGCAGGAATGGACGTAAACAAAAGAAAGTTGTGTGTAATATCACATCACTGTCTTACCCGAGGGGCGCCGGTACTACAGTTTAGATAACCCTCCGGACTGCAGTATCACGACTCCTCCTCCAGACAGCTGGAATTCTACTTCTCACTTCCAGGACTCAAGTCCGGCTACTGGTTCTGTTCATTTATGTTACCTTGGCCACACTCCAATATCACGTCAAATCACGAAACCCACTTGCTTCCACTCACTAACACGCTCACACATGCCTGTTGGCCGTCCAAGCCTCTCCTTCCAACCTTTCCTGAGATGACCCTTACTCCTCCTTCCCTCTATTTCAGATTTATGTACCGTGCCCCGTGGCCTGGTGAGGTACCCCGTGGCCTGGTGGCTAAAGCTCTCGCTTCACACGGCGAGGGTCTGGGTTCGATTTCCGGCGAGGGTAGAAACATGGGGCGTGTTTCTTTACACCGGTTGTCTATGTTCCCCATCAGTAAAATGGATACCTGGGAATTAGTCAACTGATGTGGGTCTCATCCCGGGAGAAAACTGACCTAATTTGCCCGCAATGCTGTGTACTACAAGCGACTTTCTATATAGTATGTCACTGATGTCAGCTAGGACTGTATGCTTTATACATGTACTTGTAGAAATAAAGATATTATTATTATTATTATTATTATTATTATTATTATTATTATTATTACTGCTACTACTACTACTACCACTACTACTACTACTACTACTACTACTACTACTACTATTACTACTACTACTACTACTACTACCACCACTACTACTACTACTACTACTACTACTATTGTCTTGGTCATCCTAGTTTTTTTCTTTTCTCTCTAAATATGCACACCACCTCAACAACCCCTCCTCAGCCCACTGAATAATACTTTTAGTAAATCCACACTTCCTAATATCCAAATTATGAATTATCCGCATAATATTCACACCACATTGTTTGCAGTCAGGACATCTCCAACTCTCCCATTCTCTTTCCAGCAGGAGGATGAAGTTGGTGAGTGGAGCAATGGTGGTGGTGGTAGTGATGGTGTGTGTTGTGAGTCCTCAGTGTATCTCCCACAACGACACTCTGCCTCCACCCAGCACCCCTGACCTCACCCACATCGCCCCCTTCGGTGTGGAGCTCTTCAAGCTCCTCTACCCGGCCGGAGCAACTGGCAACCTCTTCTTCTCCCCCTACAGCATCTGGAACGCCCTGGTTCTGGCTTACTTAGGCTCGGCTGGCACAACTCGTAAACAACTGGAGGCAGCACTGCGTCTGAATGACCCTGCTGGCACCCTGGCCGAGTACAGAGCTCTTGACCACCTGTGAGTATACTGACCTTCACCAGATATATACTGACTTACACCACATGTATACTAAAATATACCAGGTGTCACCCTGGATGCCACCTTCACGCGCAGTTCATATATTTTAATGAGTTCGTTTTATGAGGTCCAGATGTATCAGTCTGAGTTTTAATTGCATTGAAACACAAGTATTAACCCATTGTATGAGCATAAGATCAAGCACGCTAAATAACAAAAAAAAGAACAATACCGTGACTGGAACGATACACAATAACCCGCACATAGAAGACCTGGAGAGTTTACCTGGAAGAGAGGAGCTCACGACGACGTTTCGGTCCGACTTGGACCATTTACAAAGTCACATTTTGTAAATGGTCTAGGTCAGACCGAAACGTCGTCGTAAACTCCTCTCTTCTATGTGCGGGTTATTTGTGTATCAAGCAAGCTAGGTTGACTCTGTTCCGCTGTGGCTACATGTCACCGTTCTTTTCATCTATCCTATTCTTATACCTTTGTATAGGACCTGGTTAAGGTTGTAGCTAACATACAACTTCTTCCATAGGTACGAAGAGCGACAGGCTACGACCAGCGACTATGTGATAGATTTAGCCAACCGAGTGTATATAGATCAGTCCTTCCCTCTACGGCAGTGTGTTAGGAAGGTCCTCTCCAAGGAGGTGGAAACTCTCGACTTCCAACAGGTCAGTGCAACAACACACAGGAAAAAAATGGTATGGAACAGTAGAACAGAACACAAGAAGTAGTAGTAAGATATTTTTTTAAAATTATGTGTTAGAACACTAAAGAGAGGACGCTACGAACACAGCAGCACCTGTGTAGCTACGAACACGGAAGACAGAACACCACGAACACAGCAGCACCTGTGTAGCTACGAACACGGAAGACAACACCACGAACACAGCAGCACCTGTGTAGCTACGAACACGGAAGACAACACCACGAACACAGCAGCACCTGTGTAGCTACGAACACGGAAGACAGAACACCACGAACACAGCAGCACCTGTGTAGCTACGAACACGGAAGACAACACCACGAACACAGCAGCACCTGTGTAGCTACGAACACGGAAGACAACACCACGAACACAGCAGCACCTGTGTAGCTACGAACACGGAAGACAACACCACGAACACAGCAGCACCTGTGTAGCTACGAACACGGAAGACAACACCACGAACACAGCAGCACCTGTGTAGCTACAAACACGGAAGACAACACCACGAACACAGCAGCACCTGTGTAGCTACAAACACGGAAGACAACACCACGAACACAACAGCACCTGTGTAGCTACGAACACAGACACAACACCACGAAAATAATTCTATTTCAGTTGTTATAAATAGTGACATGCCTAACCCTGGTACCTCTGCTGATTTGCTAAAATGACTGCGTCATTAGATTTTGTCACAAGGATGTTAATTCCTAATATTTAAATCTCTGACGACAGTAAAATCATCATCTTGCCGTCGTATACCCCGTCCTTCTGTCCCGCAACTGATACAATAAAAACAATAACTACCGTAGATTGTTAAACCAGATTGTCAATGATGTAAATTACCTTAACAATGTTTAGAGGTATTAGTAGTAATAACTTATACACAATGATTAAGTCACTTATAAAACGCAAAACAGGATGACGTTTACATATTCTTAAGTTTATGACTTTTACCTACTGAACTGGTCTAAATTTCTCAGTGGCTCAGTGAATCAGTGGTAGCTCGCGTGTCTTTAGAAAGGTTATTTAGGTACAGGTTCTTTAAGTACAATTATGATATATGGTATGTGTAAATTACCCAGGATAACCCTCCAAAGAGAAAGAAATTGACTCATTTCCATTGGGTTCTTGTAATATCTATAAAGCCTAGCAGTAAGTTACCTGGAGAGGGTTTCAGGGGTCAACGCCCCCGCTGCCCGGTCTGTGACCAGGCCTCATGGTGGATCAGGGCCTAATCAACCAGGCTGTTGCTTTTGGCCGCTCGCAACCCGACGTATGAACCACAGCCAGGCCGGTCAGGTACTGACTTTAGCATGACTCACGAAACCGTAATGACACGATTGTAAACAAACCATACCACGGGTGGGGATAGAACCCGCGATCGCGGGTTCTATCCCCACCCGTGGTATGTTTTTTTTACTGACTTTAGGTGCGTGTTACAGTAGAAATCAGTCATGATTATAACCTTAAAAGTTAAATCAGTTGAATAACTTAACTGTGCGAAAATCAGTCGAATATTGGTTCAGTTCTCCTTTTCTCAACATTTATTTTAATAAAGATTAGTTTTTATATATTGTAATTTCTTCTTTGGTTTTCAGTTCCATTTCCTCTTCAGATAGGTGCGTCTATCAGCGTTTTTGTTGTTGTTGTTGTTGTTTTTGTTGTTTTTTACTTTGAGATTCTTCCTTACTGGAACTTTCAGTCTGTGTTGTTGTCCCCAGCCTGGCGAGGCAGCGGCCAGTATCAACCAGCTGGTGAACCAGACAACACGAGGTAAGATCCCTGAGCTGGTGAGTGCCGGAGACGTGGCTGGGGTTCCCATGGTTCTCGTCAACGCTGCCTACTTCAAGGGTCTCTGGCTCAACTCCTTCGAACCCTCTAATACAGTTCTGGAGAAGTTCTACTCCTCCCCTGATCAAGAGTACTCCGTTCCCATGATGAAGTTCTCCGGCGTATTTAAAGCTGGTAGGTTCAGAGTGAACTTACTCCCTATTGGGTCGTGTTTGCCTCTCTGGCAGACACGACCCAATAGGGAGTAAGTTCACTCTTAAATTACAATAGTTTGAGCAGAAAAAGTAAGTTCTATGTTAAGCCTACAAGTTGCTTCTTACATTGCAATCAATAATGATTAGGAAAACAGATACGTCTTGTCTACTGGCATCAAGGAGTCAAAGTAAGGAATTGTCAGTATGATACTTTTTTTGACGTTCTTATTTTCACGGTCTAGTATGTCGTAATAATTTACCATCTACATGAAAATGGTCTATTATTGCAGAATTTCTCAATAGACCAGTTGGTCTCAGTGGACTAACTAGCCGTTTTAATAGACCAGAAAGTAATTGTTTACCTTGTCCATGTATGCAGGAGACTCTGTGGAACTGGAAGCGTCTGTGTTAGAGATGCCTTACAAGGGAGAGGTAGTCTCCATGTTTGTGTTGCTGCCTCACAACACTGTTAGTGAGGATGCTGCTAACAAGGGCACCAAAACTGGCAATGACGCTGCCAGAATCAGTGGTGGCAGTGCTGTTGGTGGTGGTCCTACAATCGGCGGTGGCACCTACTCAAACAGTGGCGCTACCTATAACAGTGATAGTGCCACCCTGACTCCCCTTAATGCCATGATCCGTCGACTCAGCGCTAACACTCTCCTAGCTGCCATCTCCAACCTTAGAAAACAGGAAGTCGACCTCCAGTTCCCGAAATTCAAGCTGGAAGAAACACTCGTAGATGAATTGCCTGAGGTGAGACTCATCTCTTTCATGTATGTGGCCTCAGCCCTCTCACTAATAGCTATTTCCATTACCAAATTATTTGGAATTTATATATTTTTCTTTCAGTCGTGATGCGCTATGGAACAACGCAAGATAAAATTTCGTCTCTCTGTGTCCTTTAAAAGTGAATGTTGCTTTGAAACTTTGATCTATATCTGCCTTAGTCTCAACTACATGTTGTTAATGAGCTCATCTACCTCTCAGCCGCATGAGTTGGTTGACATCATTTACCTCTCGCCTGTATGCGTGTGACATCATTCACCTCTCAGCTGCATGTGTGTGATATCATTTATCTCTCGCCTGCGTGTGTTTGACGTCGTCTGCCTTTAACCTCCATGTCTGATCTCGTATGCCTTTCAACTACATGCTGAGAGGTAGATGAGGTACTTGTCTGATCTCATCTACCTCTGAACAACACGTATTCGCTGAGCTCACCTAAATCTGAATGAAAAATTAGACACGTGCAGCATTTGGGTGTCTTTATTGTAGATGTTCCGCCATCCAGTGGCTTTATCAATACAAATTCAAGGACATAATTGGAAGACAGAAAAACTTTATACAAAAGATGAGGTAATCAGTCCCTCAGCCGTGGAGTTGGTGTGAAGATCACCATAGTCGTGAAGATTCTGGAGCACAGGGAATGTTCTATTCTAGATTCGCCGGTATAATCGCCCGGGCCGGACCTTTTCCAAGAGGTGGCCCGGCCTTGGCTCCCTGCCGCGGGAGTGTCTCAGACCAATGTCTGCCATAGGAGGAAGTACAAGTACCTCCTCGTCTTCTGGGACCAGCAGTCCCCAGGCCTAGCCCCATTCCCCGCCCCCACGGGGCTCGGAGGAAGAAGCAAGGAACCCCGCTCACACTGGGCTCGAAGGGTGTGGCAGCTGCATAGCAGCAGACGATGTCAGGAGGTGCAAAGGCAGCAAGCACTACAGAATCCTTTTGGAGTCACACCCCAGCTTTGGACATTAAGCCCGAGTGCTGGGGAAGCTCAAGAATGCCTCTTGCTGTGTGTGTTGCTGCTGCTGTTACTACACTTGTCCTTTGCACTCTATCACTGGAGACAGGTGGAAACGAATGGGTAGCAGACTGATAGGCGGGATTCCCCAGTGTAAGTAGGTCATACCCGAGGCACTGGTTAGTGGTGGTGGTGGTAGTAGTAGCAATAGTAGTACCTTCTTCACAGCTATTACTACTATAACTACTACCACCACCATTAACGCGTGCCTCGGGTATGATCTACTTCCACTGGGGAATCCCGCCTACCAGTGACTATGCCCTCGTCTGCTACCCGTCCGTTTCCACCTGTCGCCAGTATATAAGCGCCAGTCTTCTTTCCTATGCTCTAGAATCTTCACGACTATGGTGCTCTTCACACCAACTCCAAGGCTGAGGGACTGATTACCTCATTTTTTGTATATAGTTCTTCTGTCTTCCAGTTATGTCCTTGAATTTGTACTGATAAAACCACTGGATGGCGAAACTTCTACAATATACTTAGATGTTGCAAATGTGTCTAATTTTTCATCTTGTCGGTACTGTATACCGTTCATGTACATCTCGTAAATCTACCTTCCAGTGTCTTAATTGCTTGTTCCTGATAACCTCATCTACACATGACTCACAAACTCCCCATTACGTTCTGTTCCCACTGACTCAGTAGTGTATCGTAGTCTCTCAGTGCGGAACCTCTATTATAGATAATGTTTGGATTTGGGCATACAGAAACGTCGACAAGTCAGTGCCCCGTGACCTGGTAGGCAACACTCACCTCACACACACTGAGAGTTCTCATATACATCAATGACCTTCCAAACGTATCCCAACACCTGAAACCCATTCTCTTTGCTGATGACACGACTTATGTCATCTCTCACCCTAATCTTGCCACCCTCAACACCATTGTGAATGAGGAGCTGATTAAAATATCGACTTGGATGACAGCCAATAAACTTACGCTTAACACTGACAAAACCTACTATATTATGTTTGGTAGCAGAGCAGGAGATGCACAAATTAACATTAAGATTGACAACACTCTAATTACCAGAAATAATGGGGGAAAATTCCTAGGCTTATACCTTGACAACAACCTGAATTTCAGCACCCATATCCAGCATATAGCCAAAAAAGTATCCAAAACGGTTGGGATCCTCTCCAAGATACGATACTACGTGCCGCAAAATGCCCTTCTCACACTATACCACTCACTTATTTATCCATACCTCACCTATGCTATTTGTGCTTGGGGATCAACTGCAGCAACACACCTAAAGCCAATAATAACCCAACAAAAAGCTGCAGTAAGAATAATCACTAAATCCCATCCCTGGCAACACACCCCCCCACTCTTCATAGACCTAAACTTACTCCCAGTTCAGTACATCCACACTTACTACTGTGCAATCTACATCTACAGGGCCTTAAACTCTAATATCAACCTTGACCTAAAACGCTTTCTTGATAGTTGTGACAGAACCCACAGGCATAACACCAGACACAAACATCTCTACGACATTCCCCGTGTCCGACTAAACCTTTACAAAAATTCAATGTATGTCAAAGGCCCTAAAATCTGGAATACCCTACCTGAGAACTCTAGAACTGCAGACACATTCATCACCTTCAAAACTACCATTAGAAAACATCTTATCTCCCTGATACACCCTGTCAACTAACTACACGAATACCACCTGGTGGTTCACACTTACACTCACTCACTCATTTGACCATAAACAGAAATATTAATTTCAGTCTTAAAATAATGAATCCTGTGATACTCCTGTGATACTTAGCCATAATACCAACTTACCTCATAATTTGTAATATTTTACAATTAAGAATAAAACTAAGTATGCCCGAAATGCCTAGCCATGCTAAGCGTTCTAGTGGTACACTCTGTAATCACAATTTTACTACATGTAAACCACACAATAACCAAATTTCTGTAAACTCAGCATTGTAATCCTTATAGAGAATAAACTTGGAATTTGAATTTGAATTTGAATAGTTCAGTCCTCGGCATGGGTGGAAACATTGGGTGTGTTTCCCTGCACAGGCTGTCCCCATTCACCTAACAAGCAAGTAGGTACCTGGGCTAGTCGATTGGTATGGGTCGCATCCTGGGGGGCAAGACCGAAGAACCACAGTGGAAATAAGACAGTCGTCGATGACGCACTGACTTTCTTGGATTATTCTGGGTGGCTAACCCTCCAGGGATTAAAAATCCTAACAAAATCTTATGTTACCTGCCATCCTCCCTTACTGTCATGTTGCTGATGTAATCCTCTCCGTTTCACCAGGCTCTTCAGCGCGAGGGGATCGTGGACCTCTTCACACCGGCCGCCAACTTGTCGACATTCGACCCATCGGGTCAACTGTTTGTGAAGAAGGGGATCCACAAAGCCGTGGTGGAGGTTAACGAAGAAGGCTCTGAAGCAGCTGCTGCCACAGCCCTGCTGGTGGCGTTCTCATTCGCGCCCAGACCCAGGCAATTCAAGTGCAATCAACCGTTCGTCTTCTTCATCTATGACAAACAAACCAACAACATCCTCTTCTTAGGTGTCTACAGCAAGCCACGGACAAACTAGACGTGTGTCTATTAAAAGCCATTACTATGTCTAGTTTACTATACATCAGCATCTCCTGTAACCAGTAGCGCTGAACGACAAAAATCACAACGTTATCCTACACCCAGATGGATATAGATAATGTTATTAATAGATTACCATCTTGTCCTATAGCTGATCGTTTACGCAGTGCAATACACAATTTCAGAATTCAAAATGTTTTATAATATTTTAAAACACAGGTCACTCCCAAGCTGACAGTCGCCGTGACAAGACAGAAAAATCCTCGTCAGGAGAACACAAACTGGTCTTCCAGTCAGCCGGAGCCAGCATTTCCCTCAGCAAATATTGTCTCAAGTGTAAACTGCAATAAAGAGTGCATATAGTGTGACACTATTATAAAAATACATGAGACAGTAATACATTCCTGTATTGACATATTAGGATACAGCCAGAATAATTGTGATACAGGAGTGTAAGATACAATATTATCTTTGTTTTAATTTGTTAATTAATAAAAGTAAAAAAGAATTGTATTGTTTTTTTTTGAGTCAAATTTAAACATTTAAAAAAAAGCAGCGTTTTAGCTTGACAGTGGAGGTATGGAGAGCAATATTATGATAGGCATACAGTGGTGATAATGTTTTTTCCTCTCTAAAATATTTAATTATGAAATATTACAAATATAAGTATAGATCAATATAGCCATAAGTTACATAATAATATTTTTACAAAGTTCATCCTGCGTTCAGTGAAAGAATATAAACCTGGGAGAACCCAACAAGGTTCCTCTTACCTTCAGTCAGTCTTAACGTGGGATAACTCAACCAAACCAGACCCAGGGGCGTATCTAGGGAAAATAGCGCCTCTGGAAACCACTGAAATTGCACCCCTGTCCAGACATCTGATATCCATCTTTTAGATAACTTTACCATAAAATCAGCTCAACAATACAACTCGTTAATCTTTTAATTAAGAAATTATAGCACTACACGAGAATTAAAACTCCCCCTTCCTTCCTTTCACTGATGCCAGTTGGTCTATGTTGTACTCAGATGCTCACATTCAGTTTTTTTTTTTTAGTTTCATCTTAAAAAAAAGTTGTGGAAGATGTTTCCTGGGTACGGAAAACTCCTTCGACAACTTTTTCAAGTGAGGAAACCCTCAAGAGAGGTTCCATGACGCTGGTGAGGGGCTCTCGATCTAGGGAACTGGATCTGTGCTCCAATTCCCTGAAATGAGAATTAAAATACGTACTTTCCATCCCCCCCACAGGCGCTGTATAATCCCTACGGGTTTAGAGTTCCCCGTGATTATAATATATAATTCAAGTGAGAATGGATGGATTTGAGAGGGATCTGCCCTCTCAGTGATTACATTCTTTCTTCTACTAGTGAGCTGCGCCTCACCTTTGACAGTGTATAAGTCTCCATAGTGTTGCTTCAACTTCACATTGTTCCAGACTATGAAGCAAAACTCTTCTCCAGGGTGAGGGACTGACCACCTCAAAACCACGTCTTCAAGGGTGAACTGATTACATCGTCTTGATAAGAAAGACACATATGCAACAGTTTGGTATCTTTATTCCGAAATGTTTCACCTAAACAGTAGACTTCTATCAGGAGTAGAGATGTGAACATAATGTAATCATTCCATCACCTTTGAAGACTGATTACATCGTCTTCACATCTCTACTCCTGCTAAACTCTTCTGTATTCGACTGAAGAAGCCTACTGAAACGTGTCGAAATAAAGATACCAAACTGTTGCATATATGTCTTTATTATCAACTTGTCGGAATTATATACCATTTTCATATTTACACCGTCTCCATCTCTCTGCTGCTTCTGATAACTCTTCTGTACTCGACTGAAAAGCCTATTGTGTTAGCGAAACGTTTCGGAATAAAGATACCTAACTGTTGCAAATATGTCTTACTTATCAGGCCTCATTTAGATTATGTTGCACAGTTCTAGTTACCGTATTACAGAATAAATATAAATGCACTGGAAAAAGTACAAAGGAGGATTACAAAGTTGGTCCCATGTATCAGAAATCTTTCCTATGAGGACAGACTGAGGACCCTAAATCTGCACTCTCTGGAATGGCGTAGAATTAGAGAGGATATTATTAAGGTGTATAAATGCAAAACAGGAATAAATACAGGGGATGTAAATAACGTGCTAAAAATATCTAACCAACACAGGACTCGCAGCAATGGTTTTAAGTTGGAAAAATTTAGATACAGGAAGGATATAGGAAAGGATTGGTTGGTAATAGAGTTGTGGAGTGGAACAAACTCCCGAGTACAGTTATTGAGGCTAAAACGTTGTGTAGTTTTAAAAATGCGTTAGACAATTACATCAGTGGTCAGTGGTCAGTCGTCACGTGAGGTCACAGACCCTGAGCTGCTTTGGAGATTAGCGTGGACGGTTACAAAGCATGGCTTGCTTCTGCAGTGTTTTAAAAATTGAGGTTGGAGAGTTGAAGGAGGAGGTTTTGCTTCTCCAGGAGGAGATTAGGAGGCTGAGGGTCCACCTCAGTGGGTCTGGGAGAGAGTGTGAGGTGGCTGGAGTTGTGGGGAATGAGGCTTCTAGCAGTGAGGTGCAGTCTGTCTCTCGCTGTGAGGAGGCTGTAGGTGGGGAGGTAGCAACGGCTACCAGCAGTGAGGTGCAGTCCAGCACCTGCTACAAGTGGCGAGTGGTTCCCAGTAATGGGAGGAGAATCAGAATAAGGAAAGTTAAGAGTGAAGATCTGAAGGTAGGAAATCGCTTCTCTGTTCTTCAGGATGAATGTACTTCAGTGGCCAGTGAAGGTAAGGGTACTACTGCCCCTGCTAACAGAGGTAAGCGCATTCTTGTGGTTGGTGACTCTCAGGTAAGATATATTGACCGTGCTTTTTGTAATAGGAATAAGAAGATGAGAGATAGAGTGTGCTTCCCTGGAGCTGGTGTTGGGGACATAGTTAACAGGCTGGATAATATCATGTCAGGTAATGGGAACAAGCCCATTATCTGTCTCAGTGCTGGTGGAAATGATATTGGGAAGGGTAGGAGAGAAGAGCTGCTAGATAAGTACAGGTCAGCTATAGATTTCATTAAGTCTAAGGGAGGGGTCCCAATCATAAGTAGCATCTTGCCTAGAAGGGGAGTAGGAAATGAATGGTTGTCTAGGGCAATTGGTGTAAATTGCTGGCTAGACAGATACTGCAAGGAACTTGTAATCCCATTCATTGACAACTGGAACAACTTTTATGGCAAACATGATATGTATGCAAGGGATGGGGTACATCTTTCTGGGGCTGGGGTGGTAGCACTTGCAAACTCAATTGAGAAGGCCATTGGTGAAATGCCTATGATTTTAAACTGATAGAAGATAGAGGTATGGGTGTGTGTGGGAAACAAGCAGGTTGCAACACTAGGGTTGGAAACAGTAAATGTATAAAAGGCATTCAGCATGAAGTTATAAATAAAGACAATAGATCAGGTCAGCAAACAAAGGGGGACAGCAGAGGGCAGCAAGGGACTAGCTCCCTTAAGGTTTACTATACTAATAGCAGGAGTGTAAGAAATAAGATAGATGAGCTAAGATTAATTGCAAGTGCAGGAAACATAGATATTATTGATATAACAGAGACCTGGCTCAATCTGAAAGATAGAGAGATGCCCTCTGAATGTCACATACAAGGCTATAAATTATTCCACACTGACAGGGTCAACAGGAAAGGTGGTGGAGTAGCAATGTATGTCAGAGACAATTTAAATTGTTGTATTAGACAAGATATAAAATTAGAAGCGTCAGCCACTGAATCTGTTTGGTTACAGCTTCTCGAGGGCCGAGAAAAACTAATTTTGGGTGTGAATTACAAGGCCCCAAATCTTGATAGGGAGTGCAGCAAACTTCTATGGGACGAAATTCGTAAGGCATCTACATACGAAAATGTTGTGCTAATGGGAGATTTCAACTATAGACAGATTGACTGGAGCAATTTGACAGGAAATTTAGAGTCAGGTGACTTTCTTGATACGATCCAGGATTGTTTTTTAAAACAGTTTGTGACAGAGCCAACTAGGGGAAATAACCTCCTTGACTTGGTTCTTGCCAGTAGGGAAACACTAATTAATAATCTTGAGGTTATTGATGAGCTTGGGGAAAGTGATTACAAATCACTCAGTTTTAATATATCATGGAATTCCCCTAATAATGGCAATCAAGTCTCCGTCCCTGACTTTCGCTTGGCTGATTTCATAGGACTGAAAAAATTATTTAGGTGGGCTGAAATGGAATGACCTGACTAAGGGTCAGGTAGGTGGTGATGGTTGCCGATATGACGCTTTCCAGGGCATAGTTCTAGCTGTTCAGTCAAATTATGTTCCAAATAGGGAAATCAGATCAAACAAAATTGATCCTAAATGGATGAACAATAGATTAAAATATCTGATTGGTCAAAAGAGAGGCATATATAGGCAAATCAAAAGAAGAGAGGGGCAATTAAAAAATCGATATATTCACTTAAAGAGAGAAATAAAAAAGGGAATTAGAAAAGCAAAAAGAGATTATGAGGTTAAAGTTGCAAGAGAATCGAAGACTAACCCAAAAGAATTCTTTCAGGTATACAGAAGTAAGATCAGGGACAAGATAGGCCCACTCAAAAGTTCCTCGGGTCAGCTCACTGACAGTGATAAGGAAATGTGTAGAATTTTTAACATATACTTCCTCTCAGTTTACAAAACAAATTCTGGCCACAAAATAGAGCGAAACACCAACGTCAAAGACCTGGGAGTGATCATGTCGGAGGATCTCACCTTCAAGGACCATAACATTGTATCAATCGCATCTGCTAGAAAAATGACAGGATGGATAATGAGAACCTTCAAAACTAGGGAGGCCAAGCCCATGATGACACTCTTCACGTCACTTGTTCTATCTAGGCTGGAATATTGCTGCACACTAACAGCACCTTTCAAGGCAGGTGAAATTGCCGACCTAGAAAATGTACAGAGAACCTTCACGGCGCGCATAACGGAGATAAAACACCTCAATTACTGGGAGCGCTTGAGGTTCCTAAACCTGTATTCCCTGGAACGCAGGCGGGAGAGATACATGATTATATACACCTGGAAAATCCTAGAGGGACTAGTACCGAACTTGTACACGAAAATCACTCACTACGAAAGCAAAAGCTTGGCAGACGATGCAACATCCCCCAATGAAAAGCAGGGGTGACACTAGCACGTTAAGAGACCATACAATAAGTGTCATGGGCCCGAGACTGTTCAACTGCCTCCCAGCATACATAAGGGGGATTACCAACAGACCCCTGGCAGTCTTCAAGCTGGCACTGGACAAGCACCTAAAGTCGGTTCCTGACCAGCCGGGCTGTGGCTCGTACGTTGGTTTGCGTGCAGCCAGCAGTAACAGCCTGGTTGATCAGGCTCTGATCCACCAGGAGGCCTGGTCACAGACCGGGCCGCGGGGGCGTTGACCCCCGGAACTCTCTCCAGGT